CTGAAAAATGGGTTTTTAGTAGTGACTTCACTATAAATTCTCTCTTATACAAATTGGTGAGACTAAAGGCATCTAGAAATAGACTAGGAAAAAAACCATTTAATCAAATTCATGTGAACCTTATATGTGAAGTTGAGAAATGTGCTCCAAACCATAAAATGATAAAAGTAATAGACAAAGGAGCTTGTGCAGAAATTCATTTTCCTTGGAGTTAATTTGAGTAGGCTTATAGGTAGGATGTTAATTTGGAAGCAAGTACTTATTATTATTTTTCCTTATAACATGAATATTAAATTTATTCAATATTAACCTTTTTTTACTAACCATCTTAAAAGCAAATTCTTAAATGTTAACCATCTTAGATCAGCATTTAAGAATTTAATTTTAATAAGAGTTTTTTATTTTACAATTCAAATTGTATTAGATTGTAAAATAAAAATTATTAGATGAGAGAGGAAACTAACAATATCAAGAAAAACATTCTCATTCAATAATTATAATTGTGTAATCCAAAATAATTCAGATAATACAATAATTTCTTTTCTAAAAATGAGTGCAAGACAATATACTTACCAATATAACTGATGACTTACTAAGTATATTCTTTTTTTTTTTTTTTTAAACAGCTAAAACGTTTCTGGATCAATTTAAATGAGAATCAAAACTAATTAATCCCCAACGATCTTAAGAGCTAGCGCCTACCATATAAAGTAGTGCTTCAAGGGAATTTAGTTTAGCTCAACACTTAAAATGTCTGGACCTAATGTACAATATTATACTTATTTCCCTGTAAATTTAATTACTGGATTATTGAGTCGTTTCATTAATAATAATTGCTTTCGTGGAACGAAGCTAAATAAATTAGTTTAAAGCAATATGTGGTCCACGGTATGTATGAAATTATTCAAATGTTCCGGAACATATTTATATTTACATCTATCATTATTTTACTTTTCTAAAGGTTCGAAAAATATCATTATTTTACATATCAAAGTAGACGTTGAAAAAAATTGAAATATTTGTTTAATTGGATCAAATAATTGTTTGGTCATTTAAAAAAATTAAAGAAAAAAAATAAGAAAAGGTTTGGAAATCATTTTTGATATGATTATAAATGTGAATTATTTGATCTGATAATTGGCTACATTATGTTGGTGATTGTTATTGCAATTATGGTTCCCTACAGCTCTCGCAGTATTCATGACTTCCTAAAGTTTGAAAGGATATCCCATTACTGCAAGCAATTAACATTTTACTCATTTTTCAGTGGTTAAAATCTAAACGGTTAAGTGGTAAATTTTTCCTTGAAGAGGGATGTTCTAGATTAAATAGTAGGTATGTAAATAGGGTGAGTAAACGGATAAGGGATGTTTTTTTTAAAAAAAAATTATGCAATTCAAAATAAAATAAAATAAGAGAAAAGAGCTGGTGGAACCTTCACATTAAAAATTTTAAATTTAAAATTAGGAAAAGGTGAAAAGAGATCTGAAAAGGAGAAGGTTATGTTATATTTTATAATTTATGGTTAGATATTCGTAAGGCACCTTCTCATTACCAAGCAATTAGAGGAAGTGTTGGAAATTCAGGGCACCACTCACATTGTTGGATTAAGCAATGACAGTAATGTTCAAGTAAGGGTTTAATATATAAAGAAATTACTTATATTAAATTCAAAAAATTAACTTATTAAGTTTATGATCTCTACATATATAAACCACTTACTTTTTAGTTTTCACTTCTAATATGAGATTCTTTCTACTTACACATGGTCATATACCAGTAAGTTCATTAGTGTGTTGGTGACCTACTAGAAAAAATTCGTTTTTGAATCTTATTGCAGGTTTTCTTAGACAAGCTTTGATTAATATAAGTTGGTCGTTTATCCATTATATATGTCAATATAGTAAGTAATGTACAAATTGTAGGCCTACCTTTAAGTGGAACACATATATCTATTTGAAGTTAAGAAAACCCTTCTTGTTTAAAAAAAGAAATTAGAATGAGGGTTTTTTTAGTACAAATTGCCTTTTTTAATAGAGAAATTATTATAGTTTAATTAGTAAATCAATAAAAAGATGTTGTACAATATATACTGCATTAGATTATACAACTCAAATCATTAGATAGGGATAGATCTTTTGATATTGAAAACTCTTTTTCATTTAATGATTCTTATTTTATAATCGATTCTAATTTAAATTTCAAAACAAAAAACTTTTGACCTAATAAAAAAAGAAGATACATTAAAAATTCTATAATAATTTAATAATTTGAATTGCATGTTTTATATGAAGTCCTCACTAAAAACAAATTTCTAAAAAGAAATAAAAAGTTTGTACCACATCTTTGCATTTAGTGATGAAAAAAAGGTAGATGAACCAACTTTTGTTCCAAAGCCCACAAAGAATTAAAGCCACATGACCTAAGTTAAGGTTGTTTTGAGTACATTTACTAGTAGAAAAAAAAATTCAGCTTTCAATTTTGGCAATCAATCATGGAAAGAGGTTCTTATGGCAGATGGAGAACAATTGGACCATTTGGCTAGAGATTTAATTTGCACATGAATGAAGAAGATGAAGTTGAGTTTTCACCTGTTAGGTTGGGAAAAAAAGTCTTCTACAAATTCATTAATTAATTCATCAATCCACGTTAAAGCTATAGTTGAAAAATACACATGAAGGGACACGTAATCAAAGATTTATCTTCTTCATTTTAGCAGTAGGAAAAAGAATTCCTCCACAAGAAATCATGAATTTCTTCACAAACAGTCATAATTTGAGCTTTAGATTTGTGAAAACTTTGGTTCAAAACTCGAAATGATTAAAAAAGAATGTACAAGTGTTTTCAGTATAAATTGTATTTTTTTAATAGTCTGATACTAAAATTGTCAAATATTCTTAATAAAATTATCTTTTATGTTTATTTATTAATGGTATTTTGATAATTTTAATATCTAAACTGGCAAAAAAAAAAATGTAACTAATCCTATATGAAAGAATACCTTTCTCAGAAAAGAATTTGAGGAAAAAAAGAGAACTTTGCCTATTATAGCTCAATTAGGTGGAAGAAAAAATATGTTAACACAAAATAGGAGACTCAATTAATTAAGGTTTTTTTTAATATGATTGTAGTGTTTTATTTTTGATTTTAAATTTTGTTAATTTTGCAATTTTAAAAAAAAATTGTTCAGTTTTATGTGTTTTTGCATCACATTTTTATGATTATTAGAGAAATAAGAATAAAAATACTCCCTCCATCTTAGAATAATAGGTGCATGATTTGAGATTTTTCCTAAAATAAGTCATTTTTCATTTTTTAAGGGAGATAAAATTTTTTTCTTACTTTAATTTTGTAATTATCTTTAGACTTTAATTATTCATTTTATCAAAAAAATCTTTTTATTTTAGTTTCTTTTTTTGGGTAAAATATGTAAAAATAAAAATTGTCTCAAGTCCTTAATTTTAAGGTAAAAGCAAAAAAATTTATTATTCTAAATAGAGAAAGTAGTTTTAATACCAATAAACAAGTTCATAATTATAGTTATAAATATTAAAACTTATTTTAATAATTATAAAATTTATAAAAATCAAAATTAAAAATAAAAAACTACAAATGTACTGAAACGACACAAACTATTCAATAAAATGATTGTGTTTTACTATTAAAAAAGAGTAATGATATAAATGATGAAATTTTGAAATGAAAATTTAATACTAATTACATAATATAAATTATATGAGTAAATTATATGATATATATAATATCATAAATTTTAAAAATATAAAAAGATTAATTATTAAATAATATAAAATTTATTTTTTAATATTTTAAATAATATAATTTATATCATATCATTAACCTCAAATTTTAATTTTAAATTTTAAAAAATAAATTAATTTTTTAAGTCATTTTGAATTTACCCAACCTAGTTGAGTTTGAGTCATCTTAAATTCCAGATCAATACCTTAGCCTCAAGAGTTTAAAACCTAATCCATAGTAGATGAGCTAGGTCTGTTCTAATTTTGCTATGTCATACCCAGAGATTAAGCACAAGAATTTCCCATTCAATATACTTCAAAAAAATTGTTTTGCATAAAGGTTATCATTAGAATCATATACTTTATAAGATAAACTTAACGATTATGAAAAATTGCTTGCACTTTTATCCATCAGCACACGTCTCACCAGAATGAATGACCAAATAATGAGCTCAGTTCCTCTGATGAAGCTCAAATAATCGGGGCTTTGAACTAAACTCTTGATGAGGATCCCCGCTTTCTTTCTGATTGCCACAAATACACTGGCCTGGAAGTTGGTGAGATGATTTCATGTTCATGGAGTTTGCACTGACCGTTTTTCTGTGCATCAAATGTAATCTCTTTGATTATAAACTAAAATGCATTATCTAAGCACCAAAGAGAAAGCACTGTAGGTTTTAATACCTGTAACTCCCTTTTTAGCGCCATCTCCAT